ACTAGGTTAAGATCTTTATACTTTTTCCATGTACATTTATATAGCTTTTCTGTTTACTTATCTAATAAATCTTTCTTTTGTTGTTAAAGAACATCTGCCTTTTCGTGACTAATCACCACATTAACCAGCTGCAGACCGTAAATATATAATCTATCAAGCCAGGTTTCACTCTAGGATCTGACTTATCCAGCATGACCATTAGCGGAGATCACAACAAATGCGTTGCATTGGTGATGACTAACAATTAACAGCCAAATGTTCTTTAAATTTAAACAAAATATGTCTCTTTTCAGCAATTCTCAAGTTTTGTATTTCCAAATAACTATTTGTATGTATTTCTTCCAGGAAGTGCCCATGAATATTCTGAATGGCAAACAGTATGGAGGAGCTGGCACAGCAGATTGCTGAACATCAAATGGCTGAGGTATTGGACAATATTCTTAAAACAGCTTTCCAAAAACTAATAATTTTAAAAACTTCATTTTAAGATGCAATTCATAAGTTTCATAGTCTGATCCAGGAGTTCACTGTATCCCCCTTGGAAGAGGGAACTTGTATCAACTGCATATCATGGGAAATGCTTAGCACCAAGTTGATGTTTGCATGTAGAAAACCAACCATGTGAATGGACTAGTTTGTTTTTCAAACTGAAGGTATTTTTTGAGATGATACTACGCTGCAGTGCAAATTGAATGCAATCTGCTAGCTGCTTGAGAAGTGCTGAAAACAAATTTAATGGAATTGCATCTTCAACTACCATGGACAATGGTTGATTGACTTTGACTTTCACCAGGATGTAAAAATACTGAAATACGTTAGCAGTTGGAGAAACCTCCAATAATTAGAGTTTTTTAAATACATTTAACATTATATTTTGATCAACAGCAGATAAGTTATCAAGGTGTTAAATATATCTTTTATTGTAATATGTTCCAGAGCTTGAAAGATATAATTTATGGACCTAGTGCCTGAGGCATTTGCCTTTTACTGAGAATGGGCTAACAGACTGCTACAAAACCTGTTTAGTTGATATGTGATATACTTTGTAGAATGTGTCACCTTTCATTACAGCAAAAGTGAAAAGTAATTAAGCTTGTAATTTGCAGACTGTTTTGACAGGTGGAAATATTGATTTGTAAATACGTGGTCTCAAACTGGGATCCTGTTTGAATTTTATGCTTTCAATTTTTAATCAGCAGCTACCCTTTAGTTCTGAGTCATCCACCATTAAACAAGGAACTTGCAAACTGGAGTGTGCATTTACCTGCTCACTACTTATAACTAACTATACTGAGACTTAGAGAAGCTTTGCATTGATAGTCTGGTTATTAGAATGCATCATATACTGTCATTTGATCCTGTTGAGCAGGAAATGGGCAATATCAAATGGCTATAAACCAGCAAGTGCTTTATTTCGTATTAAATATTACACCATATAAACCACAGAGGTATATTACATTGTTTTCCTTCATGTCAATAAACAGTTCTCTGCTAACTCTCAACCTTTTCTTGAAAACACGACTCATTCCTTATTTTAAAATAGTCACTTTGGAGCCAATGCCATCTCGGCTGGATTCAGACTGACTTTTATTTTCTTACCTAGGATATGGGCATCGCTGGCAAGGTCAGCATCTATGCCTATTCCTAATGTCCTTGAACTCAGTGATTTGCTAGGTTTTTTGAGAGGACAGTTAGAGTCAAGTATGTTGCTGTGGGCCTGGAATCCCATCTAGACCAGACCAGGTGAGGATGGCAGATTTCTTTCCCTAAAGGATATTAATGAACCAGATGTGTTTTTATGCTGGTTTCATGGTCGACATCACTGAGATTAGATTTGATTAATTGAATTTAAATTAAATCAAGTGCTGTGGTTAGATTTGAATCAATATCCCCAGTACATTAAACTGGGCTCTGGATTACTCAACTAGTGACATTACCACTACACCAGTGTCTCCCTTAAATATGAGATACTGTCAACCTCTGGGATGTATTTTAAATCCTTGACTGATGTAGTCTAACATAGGGCATAAAGCACACTATTTCTCATCGTTGTTTTCAGTAGTAAAGTGATGGGTCGAATGGCCTTCTTCAGTACTGCAAAGTTCCATTCCCATTCCTAGTGTAACACATGAGATTTTAAAGATGATGGGTAATTCTGGTGTTTAATATATTTCGTTAGTTAATAGCAGCACATCATTAGTCAGGGTTAACTATCTGACTCACCAGCAAAGCATAATTCTTGCTTTCGAGAACTGCCGAGTAATTACAATAAGTGATTAACACAAAGTAATGATGTAACTCGATCCTACAGAGGTAACTTCAGGATTCCTCCTTCTACGCATCAATATTTGGAACTACTTACTATGTGTTGTCAGAGCATAACCTAAGAAACAGAAACCGGGCTAGATCATTTGGGTCTTTAAACCTGTGCCACGTTACTATGACCAAACTTTGCCTTTAAAGGACCAACCAAGCATGTACAGCAATTCTTTACTTATTAATGTCTCCTTATTTCCTTCGAGTTATTTTGATTTTAGTGAAACTTTGTTCTATCCTGAAGTAGCAAGATAAAAAGACAGGAAAAAGTAAATTGTATGCCGTAGCCAAAATTGTGCAGCTTTTCAACAAACCAGGAAAGTAGAGTTTAGGATGGTCACATCACCTATGATCCCATTGAATGGTGGAAAAGACTCAATGGGCAAAATGGCTTACTTTTGCTCCTACTATTTATGGTCTTAAACCAAAATGTTGTGTTAAAGTTGGTCAGTCCGAAGTATTTGTGATCTTGAGTCTATAAGTGGTACTGTAGAAGATGGGTTATGTTTCAGTGTATAGGCAAATCTATAATAAACAGTTTTTGTGTTCATACTTTAACTTGCAGTGCATAAGATGACTGGAGTGTGAGATGTATACATTTTGCATTAATTCAAGAGTAACTTGGGTTTGTATTCCTCAAGTCCCAGGCAGGGAAATAGGCAGCAGAAACATAAGAAATAGGAGCAGGAGTAGGCCTGCCAGCCGTCAAGCCTGCTCCATCATTCTATATTATCATGTCTGATCTGCCCCAGGTCTCACCACCTCTTTCCTGCCAGTTCCTTATAGCCCTCAATTCCTTGATATTTTAAAAATCTATCTATCTCCCCTGTAAATAATTTCAGTGATGCCATCTCAACAACTGTCACAGATGGAAAACTCCAGACATTTATTATTGTCTGAGAAAAAATTCTTTTAGATCTGTTTTAAATGAGTGTCACCTCATTCTGTAACGAAGGCTCCTAGTTTGAGATGGCCCCACTACTGGAAATATCATCTCAGCATCTACTCTTTCAAGCCCCCTCAGAATCTTGTATGTTTTAATAAGATCATTCCTCATTCTTCTAAACTTTAATGAAAAAAGGCTGGATTTGTTGAGCCATTCATGATAAGTGTCAGTGCCTTTGTCACAGGAATCAGCCTAGTGAATCTCTTTTTGAATGGCCTCCAATGCCATTATCTCCTTTCTTAAATATGGAGACCAAAACTGTATGCAATACTCCAGGTGTCGCCTCACCAACACCCTGTACAATTATAACTATTGTTCCTGCTAATTTTCTTCTGTGTGGACCTCTTGAGTTCTGTGTACAACTTCTGGAAATAGAAGTTAATGCAGCGAACAGCATTCGCTCACTGGAGCGATTACACGCACGCACAACTTAGACAAATCATTGGTTATAACAAGACTTGAATATTTTTAAGCTCCAGTCCCCCAGCAATAAAAGTCAAAATTCAATTTGCCACCTTAATTACTTGTTGCACCTGCATTTTTTATGTTTTATACACAAGAACACCCACATCCCTATGCACTGCCCTATTTTTGAGTCTCCCTCCATTTAAACAATCTGCTGTTTTATTCTTCCTACCAAAGTACATGATGTCTTACTTCCTTATGTTAAATTCCATCTGCCAAGTTTTTGCCTACTCTCTCAACCTATCTATATCCCCTTGCAGATTGCTTATGTCCTCCTCATAATAAGTCCTCCCACTTAGTTTTGTATCCTCAGCAAATTTGGATATATTGCACTCACCCGCTCCTGCAAGTCATTAATATAGTTAGTAAATAATTGAGGCCCTAGGACTGATGTTTATGATACCCACAAGTTATGTTCTTTCCAACCTGAGAAAGATTCATTAATCCCAACTGTGTCTTGTGTGTTAACCGATCCTCAATCCATACTAATATATTACTCCCAATATGGTGAGCTCCTGTTTTGTGCAATAACCTTTTATTTGACACCTTACTGAATACCTTCTAGAAATCCAAGGACACTATATTTATTAGTTCCCCTTTATCCCTTTCCCCTTTGCTATATCTTCAAACAACTCTAGCAAGCTGGCCAAGCATGATTTCCCTTTCACAAAACTATGTTGATCCTGTTAGGCTTTTCTAAATGTTCTGCTGTTTCTGCCTTAATAATGGACTCTAGCATTTTCTCAACAGCAGACTTTAGGATAACTAGCTTATATTTTCTTCTTTTCTGTTTCCCTCTCCTCATGTTCGTGGCATTCCAATTCACCGGAACCTTACTGGAATCCAGAGAGTTCTAGAATATTTTGATCAATGCCTGCACTATCTCTGCAGCCCCTTCCTTTAAAATGTTGGATGCTGGCCATCAGGTTCTGGTGATTTGTCTGCCTTCTGTCTCATTAATTTGTCAAATATTTTGTCCCTCATGATCGAGCCTCTTACAAGACCATTTCCCCATTAGCACTAAATTTATCTGTTACTCTGGATTTTTATAGTGTCCTTGACCATGCAGGTCAATGCAAAATATTGGTTTCAAGTATCTGCCTGTTCCTTGTTACAAATTCCCCAGTTCCATCTTCCAAGCGGCACACACACACTCCAGCTACTGTTCCTTTTTATATACCTATAGAAACTCTTGCTGTTTGTTTGTGTTTTTTGCCGATTTATTTTCATAACTGATTTTCTCCCTTATTCGCTTTTCAGACATCCACTGCTGGTTCCTGAAACAAATGTAATTCTCCAGCCTATCATTATTTTACACTTCTTTTGTATGCCTTAGGTTTTGATTGGATACTCTGCGTGACCACCTTTTGTTGGCCTTTGCTGTGTGTTATGATATATTTACTTAAGTGTTTGACCCTGTTTGTGCAGTGACCTTCTTCTTAGTCTATTTTCTCAGCCCTCCTTAGACCATGCTTTCTTCATACTTCCGTAATTGCCCTTTTTTAAGTTGAGGATGTTGGTTTGGAACCTTCGTACCTCTCCCTCACTGAATTTGCAACTCTACCACATTGAAATTGCTACCTGATGTGAATCCTTAACTATGAGATCTCATTAATTCTAGATCCAAAATAGCCTGTTCCTGGATGCATTGTATTACAGTAAGATATAATCCATTATGCACTCTGCAGATTCATCTT